CTAGTCTATAACATGTCAGACAGGGTGATATGATGTGATCTAGTTTGTTGTGAAGGCAAACAAAAGTAGAATTTTATAGTTAAATGAATGGCTGGAAGTTGAGGACTACCTCTATTAGAAAGCAGAAAGCCTTCAAGAGTCCCTCCTTGTCAAACTTAGTTCTCTCCATTGCATGATTGGGACCAAACGTACGTCACTATCTACAAATGTATTTCTTACCACCTTTAGGAGAATTTAGTTCTTGGAACAGAGAAAATATTTGATATGGGCTTTGTGAAAGAAATGCCAATAAAGATGCCATTGTGGTACAATTATCCACCTTTTTCTCTTGGTCTTCTTCTTCTTCTTGTGCCATATCCATTATCGGACGTTGGCGATCATGTTGGCGATCCTGTTTTTATCAGTAGCCGCACGAAAAAGTGCTGCTGAGTTTTGTCCAAACCAGTCCTTTAGATTTTGAAGCCATGATGTTCTTCTTCTGCCTGGACCTCGTTTGCCTTCAATCTTTCCCTGGAGGATTAAATGGAGTATGCTGTATTTTTCTGGGTGTCGCATCCCATGTCCGAAATATTCTAATTTTCGTTTTTTAATTGTTTTGATGATTTCCCTTGGCTTTCCCAGGTGGCTTATCACCTCCTCATTTCTGATCTTGTCAACCTTTCATCTTGGTACCATCACTATAAAAAAATACAGAAGCCTCTCCTAATATCTGGTTTATATAACCAGTGGTTTATCGAGAAGGGATTTAATGTCCCTTTGCCTCTCTGTCCTTATGCTGTTGGTCAGGTGGAGGACATTATTCATTATATCCTCCACTGCCCCATTTACAATGAAACCATGACCAAATTATTGAACTCAAGGGCTCAGACCTCAAAAATGGAACTGTCTTCTTGCAGATAAGATGCAAAAACCAGGTTGCTACTTTTTCTCTGCTGTCATTTAACTCTACTATTCTAGTGTTAATTAATTTTGCTTTATGGTATGTTATCACCTGTTAACTACTGTAAAATATTCATAGCAAAGGAATGGATATAAACGATAAATGTGGTAGTACAGTAAGTAACGAAAGCTTGAGAAAATTACTAAAGGAAATAAGGTTGATTAGATGCAGGCAGGCCATTATTTGGTTATTTGGGATCATTGGAACAAATTAGAGTGAAAGTATATGGAGTGAAGAGATAACGTTGTTATGGAAGTCGTTAAAAAGAGGCAAACAAGGTTACTCCAGTAAATTGAATACACACAATTTAGAAAGTGCAGTGGGGCTATGCTAGGCAGAGGTTTTGAAGATGGGAGTTTTGCTCTTCAGTAGGAAGAATTAAGAATTATGAGAATGTGGCAAAGCTTTTTTCATGTTTGTTCCTTTAGAGAAAGTGTATGGTAAAGTAAATAGACTTGAATTATGTTTTGTGCAAATACAGAGCTGAAGGTTGGCTGTTGAATGTGATAAGAGTTTTGTTTTATTACAGAAGTCATGTATGCATAATTTGAATAATAAGTGTACGTAGTGAATGGTTCAGTATAGCACGGAATAAGACAATTATATGTGATGTCCTTTAGGTTGTTCAATATATTTATATACAAATATGCAAGGAATCTTGGCAATATTAGAGGTATTGTTTAAGGATGCAAAAGTACATACGTTATGCAGAAAATATTCACTGAGAATCCAAATGCATCGTATGATGCATTGGGGAGTATAAATCTGAAAATTAATGTATCAAGGTCCATGTTGATATTTGACAAAAAAATTGAATGAATAATTGTAAGATATTCCATTGTGAGAAAGAAACCAAGGGCAGGTAAATTAATTCATTACCTCATGCTTATTTTTTTAGCTTTTTATTTTTACTTCTTTACTGCATAATATTGCTTACCTCAAAAAACAGTTATGTGGTGAGTGTGTGTATTAATATGTTATGAGAAACTGAACACAGATAAATGATTTAAATTTTTTTAGTAGTACATGTCTAAAGTAAATGATTTCATTGCGGTAGAGTTGTCATTTAATACCTTTGAGTCTTTGTTCACTGAATGTTCACAACTTGGCTGTAGTACTGCCAAAATTTTGCTGACTTAATTCTGTCTATAATTCAAACAAATGTGATTTCTTGAAATATGTCACACATATACACAATATTGAAGGGTTCTTTAAATATTTGTATGTGCTTCTTTTCAATCCTCCACTCATATCACATTTTGAAGAGGTAGCCAGTCTGCTGATCCAGATTTGGGTTTAGCAAAGTTCTGCTGGCTGTGAAGGAAGAGGATGAAATGCTAATTTCCTCCAATTCCACCAGTCTTTGGAAACTCCACAAGCCACTCCTTGTGGCTCTGGAGTTGCTCCTCCAGAATTAGAATGAAATATGGTTTTGGAAACGAAGTAAAGGGCAGAAAAAGAGAACTTTTTAAAATGATTAACATATTTTAATTTAGAAAGACTGATCCTGGAAACAAGGCACTTGATATTGAAGTGTCTTAGCCATCTTTTCATAAAAAAGAAACATGAATAAAAATCAAAGATTCTCTTGAAATCACCTCAGTTGTGGTTATTCCTATGGTGGTTTTGCTTAATCAGTCTCTGTGTTTTTGCCAGACCAGGGATGGCAACTAGTTAGTTAAGTCCCCTGTGTTTGGTGAGAAGTAAGGATTCTATGTCCAATTTTGCAGCTTAAGTTTTTGTATGTAAAAAGAATTCTACTTTGTATGAATGAAAACTGTGATTTGAACATTATAATTTAGTGTTAGTCAATCCATTGTAAGGCAGAAAGTTATGTTTAAAAAGGTATGGGAAGCAAAGTAAGAGTAAAATTAAAGAAAGTGGGATTGTTTTGTCAAAAAATGAGTAATGTATGAGGACCAGAATGGTAATTTTGAAATAGCCAACATGGGTTTGTTAAAAACAGATCATGCCAAACCAATCTTATTTCATTCTTTGATAAAGTGACCAAATCAGTAGACCAGCGAATTGCTGTGGACATAGTATACTTAGATTTCAGTAAGGCATTCAACAAAGTAGACCACAATCTAATGCTTGATAAGCTAGAAAAAGATGGAATAGACAACATCACCACCAGACGGATTTGTAGCTGGCTGACAAACTGTACTCAACGAGTAGTCCTCAAAGGTACTACATCCACATGGAAAGAAGTAAACAGTGGGGTACCACAAGGCTCTTTCTTAGGCCCAGTACTCTTCAATATCTTCATCAATGACTTAGATGAGGGAATAGAAAGGGAACTCATCAAATTTGCAGATGACACTAAATTGGCAGGAATAGCCAACACCCCAGAAGACAAGATCAGGATTCAAAAAGATCTTGACAAACTTGAACAATAAAATGAGTTTTAATGTGGAGAAAAGCAAAGTTTTACATTTAGGCAGGAAAAATCAAAGGTATAAGTACAGATTAGGTGAGACCTTGCTCAAAAACAGTAACTGTGAGAGGGACATTGGAGTCCTAGTGGACAATCACTTGACTATGAGCCAGTAGTGTGCAGCAGCAGCCAAAAAAGCTGATAAAATCCTGGGTTGTATAAACAGAGGCATAGAATCAAGATCATGCGAAGTATTAGTACTGCTTTATAAAACCCTAGTAAAACCACACCTGGAATACTGCAACCAATTTTGGTCACCATACTACAAAAAAGATGTTGAGACCTTGGAAAAAGTTCAGAGAAGAGCAACTAAAATGATCAAGGGCCTGGAGACTGAAACATATGAAGAACGGCTGCGGGACTTGGGTTTGGCTAGTCTAAAGAAAAGAAGAAATAGGGGAGATATGATAGCAGTATTCCAGTATTTGAGATGCTGCCACAAAGAAGAGGGGGGTCAAATTATTCTCCAAAGCATCAGAGGGCAGGACAAGAAACAATGGTTGGAAACTGATCAAAGAGAGAAGCAACCTGGTATTAAGGACAAAGTTCCTAACAGTGAGGACAATTAACCAGTGGAACGGCTTGCCTTCAGAAATCATGGGCGCTCCATCACTGGAGGTTTTTGAGAAGAGAATGGACAGTCACTTGTCTGAGATGGTATAGGTTCTCCTGCTTGAGCAGGGGGCTGGACTAGAAGACCTCCAAGGTCCCTTCCAGCTCTATTCTATTCTACAGATGCAATCTTGAATGATAAGGAAACTCAAGTAGTTGGTTCCTGACAAAACATTCTACTTATTCAGTTAAACGTACGGAAGTTTATGATGAGAATAAACTCATCATGAGAATAAGCATTTTGGCCCACTTAGTTCTAGGTCAATAAACCTTTACCTGGACTGGCAAATTTCAGATTGCAGACAATGTTTCCATCTATATGCATAGATTGTTATAAATCTTATTTAGATAAAAACAAAAGTTTGAGAAATGGGTCGTATCCTAGCCTTTTCATATTGTGATAATATACATGCAGGACTTTGTTTCTTAAAACTAGGGAGGCTTCTGTCAATAATTAGAAAAGATGCAAATTTTAATTGGGATGCAGATAGCTAGGAGTGTGTGTGTGTGTGTGTGTGTGTGTGTGTGTTGTATATTTACTCCATATAAGCACAGCCTTCGTCAACTAATTTTAACCTTCTAGGATTTCTTTAAAATCCTGATCCATGAAGAAAATGTTTTTTCTTGTTAAGTTACAAGTATTGTGGCTTCATGTTGTTTCATTGAAGATGCTTTGTGAACAATACCAGGTTTCATTTCAATCAGTGGACTGACTTTTTAACAGATGTCTTTATGATTGTAGTCAACCAAAATTCTTTTTTATTAGGGCAAGCACTATCTACACATTTATATTTAACCTTTTCTTTTATTTCTTCCTTTTAATTCACATATTTCCAAATTCAGCCCACGATTTTCTTTACTATATTCTCCTTCTGAACTTTTGCTTTGCAGCACTGTATTTTCCTGTGCAGGAATAACAAAAGTTGGGATGTTGCCAATTTTTCATTTCTGAAATGAAAAGAACAATATCACTGCCAATTTTCATTTTTTAACAACCTCTTTCATATTTAGTATCTTCACTGCAGCTGAAAGAGGAATTGATAGATGGAGAGGAATACAGCTTTCTTCAAGGAGCTTCTGATCAGGAAAGCAATGGATCAGCCAGCCAGTACATCAAGCAAGAACCCTAAGGGTAAATCTGAACAGGATGGTACAAAACAAGACTTCCTTAAGACTGATGTTCCCATTCAGATGTTACCATTTGATGGCTTCTACTAAGGGCACTTTGCTAACTGCGGTTAAGATTTCAATTCAGAATTTTTGGAGGACAAGAAAACTATTTTAGTGGGGGGAAAAGAATTTTCAATTTATTAAAAATTGACATGTTTGTGTTGTATTTGAAGCTTTTGAAAGAATTTTTGTAATATTTTCAAGTTCAGATTGTTAAAAAAAAGATACTCTAATTTTTTGGTAAGAATTAAAAAGCTTAATTATAGCAGGATTGCAGGAAACCCTTTGAGGAAGATGAGATGGTAGAATAGTTGAAAACACAAATGAACTGTTTGTGATGAGTGAACCTTCTGGTACAAGCTGGGAGCTTCTGAACTGAAAAGCTACACTAGGCATGCCCTGTCTTTTCCTCAGTGACATCATGAGACACGGTGATGAAACATAAGAAAAGAAATTGAAAGGATGGAGTATTAAAATGTTTTCTCCTGGCACAGTGATATACTGACAAATCTGCTTAAGATTTTGGAGAATTAAGCTTTGGTCCTGTCTTCATTAAAGTTATTGAGGCTGTTACTTGTTAATATTTTGAAATACTAAGATATTCACACAGATGATCAGCAAAGCTCCCATATGTCAACTAGTATATGGGACATTTTGTTTTTTCTTGTGCAAGGAACTGAAAGCTCTTTTTCTAGTGAAACAGCAACAGATTTGATTTCCATCCTGATGGAAGACACACCCTGAAACGATGCAGCAGTCTGCTCCTGAAGACGGCATTATTCTTCTCTACACATTTGGAAGAACTTCTTGATTGTTGCAAACTGAGCTGGTTTGCCCGAAGATGCTTTGGAGCCTGTGTTGAACACAGTATTTTCTTGGCTGCTGATACCTTTCTCAAGAATTTGTCATAACTAGTGTGGCATGAATGCTGAATTTCTTGGAAACTGTTCCTGGATAGTTAAATCTGTATGGAAGTTAACAGATGGAATCATTCACAGAACTTTAAAATGTTGACATTTCCATTCTGGTGTCATGACGGGATGATATATGTCACAGAGTTTTGCTTTTACCAGTAAGGTTCATTTACTAAACTCTCAGGAATTAACTGCTTATATTCTGTAATTGCTTCTGGGTCATAGCAAGTCGACTTTAGAGCAGTCTGTCTGATTCTTGTTTCAAGGGTAGGGTTTAGAAAAAAATTAATTCTATAGATTAACCTCTACACCCTTTAAATCTAATGCTTTATGACTAGCAACTCTCCAAGCCCCAGAGACAATTTTTGGCATATAAATGTTTTAAATTTTTAAACGCATAGAAAGTTGAAAACCAGCAATTTTGATTATTTTCTTATCTTTGTTATTGGGTACATACCATTTGTGATATGCAAAGGTTTACCACATTCTATGCAAGAGGGGATAATGGTGTAAAATTTTGTAGTAATTTCTGGAAGTACATTTTTTTTCTGTATTAATATAGGACTGTATGAAACAATTCCTACTCTTTTTTTTTCCTTTTTCTTTTTTCTTTTTTACATAGCTGGGCCATTGTTGAAAACTGCTTCATGTATACATTTAAAAAACTGAGTATCAAGTGTCAAATATTGTGAATATAAGTGGAAACTGCATACTGTATTGTTATGTCTCTAAAAAGATTATGTTCATAATCCTTAGAAGTACAAGGGGCGATCTGGGCTTAGCTGATCTGCCTTCTTCCTTCTTTTCCTCTAGGAATATATTTCCCTCCCTCATTCACAAGTGCTCCATTACAGCTGTTTTTGAAACTTCCCTGGTTTACAAAGCAGTTCATGATGCTACAAAAAAGAGCTGCTCTTGGGGGAGGGGAGCAAAAAGCTGTATCATGTTTGTGTGTACCCAGATGTGCGCACACGTACACTCATATGCATGCACACATAAGGATTCCCTGAATCACAGTAATTTTGAAATCATAATTCAGGCATCAATCCCTTAGCACAGTATTTCTTAGGCCAGTGTCTCCCAAATGTAAATGATCCATGTCACCAGGCCATTTACCTGTAGGATAGAATCCTTCAAAAGCAAAATGAGATTCCGGAAGGAATTGCATCGAAAACTGAGTGATCCATATTTTTTTTCCATCTCAGATCATAATTCTGTCAGCCATGCTCACCTATAATAATGCAGAACTGATAGGATGAATTTTGTGGTTTGTAAAGGCCACTGTATAATAACTGCATTGTCAGAGACTCTTGAGGACTTGCAGAATAACATTTATATACCAAGTTCTTCTGATTTTTATCAGAAAGATAATATTACTGTGAAAAAGACATCCTGAGTAAGGTCTGTACTAATGGCTTTTGCCTTGAGGCCAGCATAAAAACTTGGACTTATGTAGAAATTGATTCTTGTTTAGTTATACGATCTAAACAAGCTTGAACCAAAAGAACATACATTTAGGCACAGTTACTCCCAATTCCTAGTGGACACACATTGTGTGTATTTTGTATCTGTAGGATTGGCAGAAAATCATGAGGTGCAGTCGTGTTTCCCCATTCCTGTGCATGTTATGATTGGAGAATTTCACTAATTTCTGTCAGTCTTACATTGGAATGGCCTTTGTCCAGATGAACAGATGCCCTCTTCTACCTCGGAATATGGCAGCTCCTGAAAAAACCCACAACCACATTTAATCCCTACCACATCAGCTGAGAACCTGATGTTGAACCAGCAATTCTGCAAGATGTTAGAAGACCTATAATTATGTTTGGGAGAGAATGGCCTTGATTACTGCTATAGTGCAGGTTCTCTGATTTTTGGAGATAATTTACACATTTGTCAAGTAGGTACTGCTATCTGTTCAGGATTTTCATTCTCCCATTTCTACATCCTGATACATGTACCTGATTAAATGAAAACTTAAATATGAAAACTTTTTTCAAATCTTGAAATTAATTCTTTTTCCATGAAACCCTTGAGTGAAACCTTTTTCCACATTAGTTGTTCATTTGTCTTTTTTCTTCAGTGTTCATTCTGAGTAATGCTTATGTGTGGCCTCTTAAAAAACAGCAACCAGATGACTGTAAACTTTTAGTACCATTGGGTACGTTCATTTTTTTTAATGATTTAGTTCTAACGACATCTCCAGTTTGCTGTGAACTAATTACCACCAATAATCTGGGATGGAATCAGATTGGAGGGGCTGAGTGGATATTGGTTTGAGACTTGTACTTCTGCTGTGGGTCAGCTAATATTACAGTATTTGGCACAAGGCAGGATCTTTTTAAATAAGGCACCACAGGCAAGGTAAATTACATTGCAAGGGCTCCTTTGTACAGCTCAGAATATTACATCTTTTTCACGCTTTAAATTTCCTTGCTGAATCAGAGGAATACAAAAGCAGTTATCGACTTCTTGTTCTATTGATACTAACACGGGTTTCAGTGTTTGTTTGTTTTTATTGTTGTCATTTTTATGTGATGTGAACACCTACTCCCATCAATATTTGTATTATGGTGCTAATATATTGGTAACAATCCTTTATTGGAAAGGGATTAAAACTGTGATTAAATTGATTTTTTTTTTAATTTTCATATTTAAGTGAAATCTCAGCCATTTATATAAAAAAGGGGGAAAAAAGCATGAGCTTCTGCCTCTGGGAAAATGATCGAGGCAGAGGTTAAAAAATGGTTTTTACATCATTTCTGTATGTATTTGATATATAGATCACTATCTGTATAAATTTAATCTTTTATTTTCTTGGTTATTTGTGTGGTCAAATGGGAACATTTAAAACCTCTAATGTACATAACTCAGTGAAAATTGCTTTTGAAGAAATTAATGTTACTTTCATTTTTAACAGACTGCAGATTTTCAAGCATGGATGTGAAAAAGCATTAAGAATATAACTTTGTGTACAAGATGAAAATAATTCACTAAATTTGCCTTTTTTACACAAAATAAAAATGTTAAAAAGAAGACCAGGTGGTAAATTTTGTCTCAACGGGGTCAAGAATATCTTTTAAAATATTGATATAATAAAGTATCTCCATTTCATTATCACTAAAAGATAGGTCTGCATTAATTCTAATGGTAATTCTGATCATTGGAAAGAAATGTCAAATTAATTTTATTTGTTTCATGGAGTGAAGTATAATTTTATTTGTGACAGGCCCAGTACTGTTCCTTTCATCCTGTTTCTCTAAATGTAGTTTTAGTTTAGCCCTAATCTGCCCAACCAATGTTTCAACCACAAATTTCTAATTCAAAACTTTTCTCTAGCCAATAGGTATCATTTTGCATTAATTTTGCTATTAGTCAAAGAGTCATGGAAGACATCATGAAGTTTTTCACTATAGGTCTCCTTTGATGGAGATTTTCCTGGGCTAGGGAAGCAAATATTGTGGTGCAGAAAGACTGTTCTTATTGCAAGTAACAGTAAAACAACCTGCTTAGAAGATACATAATTGCTAAATAAAAGTGTCTGAAAATGTACCTCAAATTAAGAACTGCAAAATAGTTTATGGGCCATAAATATGGCTATGATTTAGGAATTACTTGAGTTTTTCACCATAAAACCACAAATCAAGTAGTTTCTTTGCCCATATAGTTGCTGGGATTATACAGTCCTTATTCTCCAGCCCTGGATATGATTAGGAATGCTCAGTTGATTAAAAAGATTTTCAGAATGAACATAGTTATTTTATTCCATCTCTATCAGTGCAATTGAATATTTAATACTTTAGAAGGTTACACACATCAAGTAGCACTTCTTGTTGAAAACTACATCAACTTTCTAAGATGTTACTGCATTACAGGAGAAATACACAATAGAAGCCATTATTTCCACTTTCCTGGATAGCCTATAGTGGACGTCCACACAACTTATAGGTGGGAGGAACCACAGTGGCCCAAATCACTGCAAGCTATAAAGGAATACCTGGTATGCTGATCAGCTGTTTGGTGACTAGTGGAACAGTAGTAACAGCAGAATGCAGAGGCTTGGGGGGACTTAGCAGCATTTTTTGGGGGTAGGAGTGAGTTTATTTTAAAATATGCCACCAGGCCATTTGGTGGGCCATGCTGTGCAGTCCTGCTGGGAAGAATGGGAATCGCTCTTATGGCTAAGTTGTTCAATAATCTTAAGTTTCCTGAAACAAAATTCTGACATACTGAAAAATATTGGGCAGCAGAATCAATTCTGTGGCAAGT